TCCTGAACGGTGGGAAAGCCAGTGTGCAGCAATGGCCCGGCCACGCCGTGAGCCCAGGTCCTCTGACTCCCAGGCCAGCACTTTCTCCAACATACTACCAAAGGGCACTTGATAGGCTTCTGTTTATTTTGAGAATTTAAAAGTTATAGTCTTATTTTGTGAGTCATGTATCTATATGATTTTTAGAGAGAAAGAGAAACTGTTACTATTGCACCTATATATACTTTTTGTTATAAGGTCACTTTGTTTTAAAAATGGCAATTCATAGTGTTTACAAAAGTTGTGATAGTTGTATCCAGGAAGAAGCACTGATAATGTACCTGATTCCTTCAACAGAGACTCATGTACCACAGCCTGGCCATTTCTCCCTACAATATGTAAAGTGTAGAGCTGGCCCCTCTCAGATCTGGTGTTAGATTTTAGGACTGACAATTTAGATAAATTTTCAAGGAAAGCATAAGCTTACACAGCTTCTTCTCTTGTCACTACTCTTTAGTTACACTTAGGCAGAAAACACACGTTTAGTTGTTTCAAAGATGATTTTTTTCAAGTAAATATCTAGTAAATGGGAGAGATTAATAAAGGGCTATTTTTTCGCAGCTTGTGGTTTCTAATTACATCAGTTACAGCTTAGCCTTCCTCTTAACTAGAGTGCAGGCATGAACTGGAAAAGAATGAGCTAATCCATGATAGAGCAGGTTGAATAAAGATCTCCATTCATATCTTTACCTTTTATCCCTTGTTCTGAGTGCCAAGAATTAATGCTGTTTGAAAGTATAAACTGAACCTGCCAAGCTTTGGACAGCTAAGATAATCCTAATTATTTTAAATGTTAGTGAGAAGGGCAGCAGTTCCACTCCGGAATAGAGTTCTATTGTGAAACATTAAATGTCTGCTAAGTGGTACTGATTGGACATGATTTTATTTCCAAACACTATGGTTATCATGAAGCGGAAGAATTTGTTAAGAAATTTTCATTAGCTTTCCATCAGGCTCTAAGGCCTGCAGACTCTAGGAAACTGAAGAGGCCAGCAGTTCTGTTTTCTTCCTGTCACCATCTAGGGGAAGAATGCCACTTGCATTTTTATTTTTAAGGGGTCTCTTAGTGGGAGTTTTATAGTATTTGAAATATAAGGAAGACAATTTTTTTCTCAAGCATGAATATCCTGTTTTCTCACATCACTGGATGAGAATTATTCATTCCAGTCCATTGACTTCCAAAAGATCATTCAAGTTAAAAGTCAGGGGTCTTTGCAGTGTCAAAAGATTTAGCAGTTAGAGTGGGTTTGTTTTGTTTAACAGAGAGGTGGGTTTTGGGGGGCAGTACATAATATTTTCCAAAAAGAACTCTGATGGTCAGATGGCATCACTGAATTCATCTTGTGTTTTTTTTTTTCAATATTGGCTAGGAGTGATTATGTGTAAGGTTTTTTGTTTTTAAATAATACTATAAGAAAGGCCTTTAGCTTCTGTAGACAAATAGGTTACTTGAGAGAAAACAGATCCTGGGCTTACTGGTTCAAACAAGGGTCAGCCTTGGAGGTTTACCCACCTCTCATTGTAACCGGAAAACCACGCAGATGAATGGGCAAGTTTTCCTTCATTCTTTTTTTCTTTTTCTTATGTCTCAGTCTCTACTTTGGTCTCCAGAAGTCATTTCTTCCTTTTCTGTAAATGCTGGGAGCCTACCGCTGATGACAGGGTGGCAAGATCCTGAATGCTTCGTGAGCCCCAACCCAGCACAGCTCCCCACTCCTCCTCCTGGCCCAGCACCTGAGCACAGCACTAACATCTTCACTGATGCAAATAGTGGTGTGTTGAGGATCTCTGAGCCAATTATTCTTTCTTTGGGCTTATTCCCCTGAGTGGAATTACCAGGTCAGAGGGTATGAACAGTTTTATGGTTCTTATTACATGTCACTAGATTGCTGTCTAGAAAGATTGAGCCAATTTCGAGAGCTTCCAACAGCATATCTTTCCACACAATCCTGCTGACACAAGACATTAGCATTTTTTACAAACTAATCAAGAGAAACCTTTCAGTCGAAATTAGCCTTGTGCAATGCTTGTCAGAATCAACCTAAAGAGCAAAAAAGATAATTTTTACTTTTGAATTTTTAATTGGTATAAAATGATTTACAATGATCAATTATTACCCCTTCTCTGCAACATTTAATGAAACTGCATTAACATGGAGAAAGGTACCTTGCAGAATGATAGTGAAGATGATTTTGGACATTAGACACTAAGATGATCACTTAAGAAACCTTAGTGCCCTTGGAAGTACTATTATGAAGTGGGTGCTACACAAAATGACTTAAACAGACACTGTCCCTAACTTCAACAACCCATTATTCCAAGACAGTGTAAGCCTTGGACAAAAAAAAAAAATTACATGGGTTTAGGTTTTGAGTGGAGGCACTCTTTAAAAAAAGAGGTGTTTTTCAAAAGAGGCTGAGTTCAATTATTTGCGTCTTCTCTGGAGTGCAGTTATGCATTCAGCATGCTCAGAGCCTCTCTGGTCCATGCTGGGGACACTGCATCTATTTGTAGCCCCGTTATAGGAATGCTCTCTAAGCCCACAAGGCAAGTGTGGGCAAAAGGGGGCCACCCCCAAATTCCTTTCTTTTGCAGAATTCTTGCCTCTCCCTTTCTAGTCCCCACGTGGTTAAATGGGCAGAGGAAGGTGTGTGGTGCTGGAGGGGGGATGCATCTCCTAGGTCAGCTGCTAACTGAAGGCAGAAGGCAGGCCTTCTGAAGGGGTGGGGAGTACACTTATGATTCTTTTATAGTCTCTGGGTTAGTCTGACAAGGGTCAGTTATTTTGCCTCCTTAAACTCACAGAGATTAGGAAGGTTCAGTGGACAGTGACTAATTGTGGTACCCAAGAGTCGGATGTGTGGGAAAGAGAACAAGGCGGAGGGTCAGGCTGGCCAGTGCCACATTGCCCTTGGCAGCTTCCACAGGGTCTCCTATTGCAAATGTGGAGAATGATTCTTCTAGTGAACTGAGGATTAAATACCTCATGAAAGTATGTGGTGTACTGGAATTACTCAGTCAGTGTTCACTCCCTTCCTCAGAAGTACAGAGGAACTTCTGTCACTAGTTTGACATGGGGAGAGGGCTGAACAGATTAACTCACGGACTCTAGGGCTGGCTCTTAGCTCTCCAGATCTGTGTAGAATAATAATATGTCAGAGCAAAGTCTACTGCCTTTGGAAAACATTTTCTGTGTAACGTACAACATTCTTGTACATGTAACACAATTATAAATCATTTTGGATTTGCAGGGAATTTTTAATCCATATAACAATTAAAATTTAGTAAGAAACCTTTTATGAACTGCTATAAAGGCTTCAGATTTTGTAGGTTCCCAGTTTTTTTGGTTGCTACTATGTATAGATTCATGTGCACACCTTTTCGGCATCTGTAAAGTATTATTTAATAGCTCTTTCCTTGAAAAACAAAAAAATAGCTTGCAAACTATTACCCTTGCTCTTTAAGTTACTAAATAAATCACTATCACTATCAAAAATAATTATCAGGAGATTGCCTGAGTTGTTTTTCGAATGTATTCACTTACTAAGTTTTCAGATCATGCCTTTGCTTATTTAATATTGAGGTAGCTCTACAAAACTATCCTTCTGTCTGTCCATCCATATGTCACATTAGAAGAAAGGGGCTTTCTGAAATAATCTGGCCCAGTGGAGTGGTTAAAGGTCTGCTTCTTAAATCCCAGTTCTGTTCTTTTATTTCTGTGTGGTTTCACTCGCTGCAGCAAACCTTTTCCAAACCCATAACAAGCGTAAATAGTGTTCTCTTTTCAGCATGGTAATATACCTTATTAAATTCCAAACATAATAAGTATTGATGGCAAACACATCAGGACCCAGTATAGCTTCTGTGATTTAGTTCTCTACAAATGACTTCAGCACTCAGCTCCCAATGCATTTTGCTAATTACATCATAGATTTCCCTATTGATGAACACAAGCTGAATTAACACAGGAGCACTAATGTACCCTTTCACCATTATTGTTGTACAAGAAGCCGTGGCAGATGCTGGCAGTTAGTTACACAAACATTAGTATTAACGATTGGCCATTTGGAATTGGTGACAAACTACTGCCCAGCAGAATCCTGAGGCTGAAACCAATCAGGAAGTTAATGAGGAGAGAAATTACCACTGCAGCTTCCCCTTAATTACATTCACACTAGTCAGGAAGGGAGTTCTGGGGGTGGATCTGAACTCAGCTAAGGTTAAGAAGGTCAGAGACCCTTTTGCTTAAATTTTGTATCTACTGTGGCTTGTAAGGTTGCAAAAATTGTTCAACACATTACTTTCGCATCCTTCATATTTAATGTCGGTTTTCTAGTGGAGTTTCATGTTCACAAGTTTGCTTTTAAAATCTTATCTGACTTCTATTTTAGTGAAAGTAGTTTACTTTTTACATATTTAAAGTTGTTCCCTGCTCCCCACTTAGTGCTTTTTTAGTTTTTAAAAGTTATATATGCTGACCTCTCCCAAGTATTTGTCCCCCAGTATCCAAGAGAGAGAACAGGAAAGTTGGTAAGCTGTCACTTTCTCTTGCTATATTGAAAAACTTAGGGTTACCTGTCAAATGGTAGAAATACATGGGCGGGGTCTTGTTTGGGGTTGTGGGCTGGATCATTTGACAAGACAAGTTCTAATAACATCCTTAACAAAAAGGGGAGGGGCTCAGTGAAGGGTGGCAATAGTTTCCCCTAAAAAGGTGGGAGCAGAATTTTTTTTAATGGACAGAAAACTGGAACTCTGTTACATAACTTTCCCCTTTTGTTAAATAGAAACTGAATAGATGTGCAGAAATGGTCTTTTTATTCTAAAATAGTGCTGGAGATTTTAATGAGTGCTTGTAAAAGCGCTTGCCTTTATCTTTGTTGGAACCTAATTGAATACTGAAAATAGAGAGACTAGCCAGTTTTAATACTCTTCTCCCTCTGTCTCTCCCCACTTCCCAGTATTCTCACAGCACAGCAGTCAAGATTCTGGCTTGGTTTCCCTCTCCGGCAGCTCTCCTATTAGTAGCGAGAGCACAAAGGGAGTGCTCGAATGTGAGTCTGCCTCGGAGCCCAGCAGCTTCACGGTCACTCCTGTCATCGAGGAGGACAAGTAAGCAGCGCCCTGTGCCTTTGGCCGTTCACTTGGAATAGCAGGCTTATTCCATTTATACACAGGGTTTGTTGTTAATATTTTTCTCTTGACTTATGCTTAAACTGTTGAGAACATGTTTGGTTTATTATACTAAGAGCTTAGCCCAGAGGCCAGAACACCTTTGGAATAGTTTAAGATCCGTGACTAGCACCTGCAAGAATTAAGTACTTTTGCTCACAGGGTTAAATAGTAGAGTCCTTAATTTTTTTATGACACTGGTTTACATGTAGTTTTCAAGAAATACAATAATTCACTCAAGCAAAGCAGTATGTTTGCATCTAAATGGGGTCTTAATTAGATGGTTACTTTCAATTTTAAAATGAAATCTTAGATGCTTTAGATTTCTTTAGTATTTTAATAAAACTGCAAAAATATAAATTTAGCCAAGTACCTGACCAGTGAGAAGAAAAGAGCAAACTTAGTGATTATTTTATAAATCTGCAGGAGGTCGGAGTAAACGAAAATACTGTGTTTGTGTTACTGTTGGAAAAGCCTAGCCCTACTCCATTCCCCAAATCCAAAACATAACTGAAACACAGTAAAAAAAAAAGTTAAAGCTCTTAGGAGTTGCTACCTTTTCTGTAAAGGGTAATTTGAAAATAATACAATTTAAAGTAATTCCAGTAATGCAGAGTTCCTGGGTGTTGTTTCTAGAATAATATAACAGTTTATATCATACACATTTTTCTACTACAAGAAAAAAAAGGATGCGATCTAGACTATTTTGTAACCTTAGGTTGTAATCTGACTTGAAAATAAGTACATCTTTAAAAGTTACTACGGATTTCTGAGTTCATTATTTTGTTAAAAATTGCTTGTGGAAGTACTTCCTTATGTAACAGAAGCCATCCTGAAATGAAACTAGTCTAAAAAAAATTCATTGTTTTGTGTAGTTGCAGCTGTACCTGAAATAAAAATGTTATTGATGATTGAATTTTCTTGTGTGTATATTTGGTGAGCGATATTAAACAGGAAAAAAGAAATTACTTGTATTTTCTTCGCTCTGTGCTTTGAAAACATCTATTTGATTTCACCCCCATATGTTGTAATCAATAACCTGACCATCTTGTTTTTTATTAAATGCACTTACTCTTAATTTCATCCACCAGTGGTTTTAGAGAGAATAATGTGGAGTTACCTATATAGGTTTGACATTATAAATCACTTCTTGGGGCTGAATCGTATAGTGGTATCGATTGATCCTGATATATCACAGAAATTTACTGTCACTTCTGTTTTCAATTAAAGATACAATCAGTCAGATAATGACTTAATTGGATTTTACAGAAGATTGAGTTTTATTGCCCAGTGCTTTACGAGTTTAGTTAAGGAAGATCATTTTATCACACTTGTCAGGCTGCTACTGCAGCCTTGTGCCCTTCCGGGCGGCTGAAGCTGTAGCTATTGTGACGGCGACGTCAGAAGGCTGCGGGGTGCGCAAGGAAGGGACCGGGCCTCGGAGACGCAACCTCCTAGGCGTTAAAGGTGGCATTTGGGGAGATGAAGAGCCCTCGCTCACCCGCACATTCGCTGCCCACTACTCAGGTCCCCTCCATTTCTTTGGATAATCCTGGCTTGTGCGGATCCAGGATTCTTCCAGTTACTGCCGTTCCATTGATGATCCCAACACAGAAATTTTGCCAGTGGTTTTACTGAAACTCGGCATCCCCCACCAAATCTAAGGATGCTCCTTCCAGGCACAGCCCCCTTCAGTGGCCTTGTTATTTCTAGAAAACCAGGCGGGGAGCCCAGATCAACGCGCCACTTTGTCCCGGTGCTGAATGAGCACCGTTCTGGGTCCTTGCTGCGTCCCTAGAGCTGGGCTCCGGCCTCTGAGTCAGTGCGCTTCCCAGTCTCCTGACACCACTGAGTTCGACTCCCGGTCGCCGGCGCCCTGGATACCAGGCCTGTCCGGTGTGCAGCACCCATCCTCCGGAGAGGGTCCTCTGGACTCTGAGAGTCCACCTGCCGCGCCTGATGCTGATTAATTCTGAATGTGGCAGCCACCGCGCGCAGATCCCGCCCCAGAAGGGCCACTCCCAGCGCGACGGCCCGACATCAGAACTACGACGGGCTCAGGCGGAGTCGCGGGAAAGCCTGGCATCTCTGCCGAATAGCTCCATGAAAGATGGACCTGGCGCCTTCCTCCTGCCCCTGGGGGTTGGGCGTGGTCCTATGACTCCCATATTTGCTACTCGGGTATTTATTCTTGACTGCTGGGGAGGAGGGTGCCAGGCAGGCCCAGATCCTGGCCCAGGGGGACTGTCTCATGAACTTACACATTCTGAACGCAAGAGAGCCCAGACAGGCTTGGCTGATGGATTTTAACCATATTTTAATGCACACAACCCAAGGGGCGGTCAGTTTGGCAAAGCTCTGCTGCTTGGGAACTCAGAGACCCCTGATGGCAAGGCCGTTTCCTCTCGCGGGTTGTATCCACGCGATGTGCGGTACACCAGTGCGCACGGCATGTGTATGCATGTGTGGGTGTGGCGGGCGTCCTGCACGGCTCTTACTGACCCTGCTACACGCGCTTCTGCAGCTTCGGCACGGGGAAACCAATGCAGGCTCGCCGGGCCTTCTTCTCCTGGGCGCTGGGCAAGTTGCCACCAAGCAACGCAGGGCAGTGAGCAAAAGAGGCGCGCGCCTGTCCCTTAGGCCGCCTCCTGGGACCAGGGTGGCGATTACCTCCCCAAGGCTGACGCCCTACTAGTGTGCTGCAGACCCCGCGCGGCGGAACTAGGGCCTTGGGGAAAGCTGCCAGCGGGGACTCCTTTCAAAATCCTTGCACGAAACCGCAGTTCGGTGCAGGAGCGTGAGCCAGATCCACCGAGCCTGCACCGCGGTCTCCCATGCACCTCGTGGCATAAATATCGAGCCCTTCTGTACTTCACGTAAACTTCAGTGCTGGTTTCGCACGTACATGTATATGGCCCCGCATCTTGACGTTTTGCATCAAGTGGTATTAAAAGCTCTTTATGGAATGCGCTTCGCCTCTCAAAGAACTCTGGTAGGCAGCCGGGCTAGGGAGAGGGATTTCCCTGGACTCCCCGTGCTTGGCCCTTGTCGCCCGGCCGGTGGGGGTGGCACCTGTCTGCCTGCCCGCGCGCCGCTGGGCAGTTTGCGCGGAAACCTGCGCGGAGCCTTGACCCTCTGTTCTCGCTCCACGCGCACACACTCGGACTAGGCCCGAGCTCGCTGCTGCGCCTGGTGCCCTTGAAGCCCGATCGCCTCCTAAGACTTGATTCTCTCTTTTAAAAGACGCCTCCTCCTCTTCCAATCCCCTCACAGAAAGGCGAACGGTCTTTACATAGCCCCTAGTTCAGTAAGTTCCCCACAGAAAACAACTAGCAAACTTCTCAGCAGTTTAAAGCTGCGGTCTGGACGGCTGGGAGGGGGCGGGGCGTGCAGGGCTGGGGGCGGGGCACCAGGTGGCTGGGCGGAGCCCCGAAGTGCTCCGGAAGTTGCCCGCCCAGGAGGCGCCGAAGCCGGAACTTGGGCCGAGGGTCTTGGCCTAGATTCCAGCGTGAGGGCCGCCCCTCGGGTTCCCTAACCCCGGGCGGTTGCGGCCCGACTCAACGCCTTGGCTTCACAGCGTTACTCTTGCGCCTCCGGTCGGGCTCCCTGCCCCTGGGGTACGAGCAGGGCCGGCCTTTTCCGTTCTCCCCTGGCCCCTTGAACCCAGCTGGGACTTCTTTCCTGGAAGCCCGCACATCTGCCTCCTTTCCCCGCAGCAAGGCTTTGTTACGAGGCCGGAAAGGAAGGCGAAGGCGGGAAGGGCGAGACAGGTCTGGAAAAGTGGTTGGTCTTTGGGAAGAGGAACAGGAGTTCCAGAACAGGAAGGACCGATCACCAGCCTCCTCCCCAATGAAAGCGAACTTTCTGGAGAGAAGAATCATTGTCCTTTGAATGTTGTTCTATTTACTATAAGTGATTTCTTGGCCTGTTTTGTTTTTAATTGTTAAGTCTTAGGGGGAAATTATTTTAAAGTTCGTGCTGCTCTCATTTTACCTCGGGAGATTCGTGGTGTGTGTTTTCCTTTGCGCACGCAGATGGCAGACAGCGTCCGCCGGCCGCCGCCTGCGATCTCTTACTCTCCTCGCAGGACGTGTACGTCTTGTAGGTGTAAGGATGTGATCGCGCCTCTGCCATTCCACGTTCTCCTGCTGCCGGGCGGCTGTGTCCGACTAGGCCCAGGAGCCCCGAGCACCCGCTCCTGCGTGCGGTACTCCAGGGCCCGAGGGACCCCTCCGGGCGGCGGACACACCAGGGCCGCAGCCGCTCCCCGAGTCCGAGGCCAGAGTCGCGAGTCAGCGGCTGCACTGCAGCCTCTAAAGAAAGCAGGCCTGAGCTCCAGGCCTTGGACCAGTGGGGAGCGCGCCTCGGGCGCTCTTTTCTAGTGCCCCCATTGGAAAGCGCAGGGCTGATGTGGAACCCCTCAGGCGGAGCAGTGCGGGAGCAACGCCCCAGTCCTACTCTACAAGATGGGGGCCGGTGCTGCCTTGTGTCTGGGCTGAGTCTAAGGAATGCACGAGTGGGGAAGCACTTGCTCCAGGTCTAAGAGTTCCAGAACAGGAAGGACCGATCAGCAGCACCTGCCTGGTCTCACAGGGCCTGTAGGATTGCAGGCAGTACTACGTCCTCGCTTGCTCTCGAAGGCCTCGGTCCCTGAACCCTCAGGGCACCCACTGCCAACGTGGTTTGGGGATATAACAGTCCTGGGTCTTCTTTCTGCTCAGCGACGTCCCCCGGGTGCGCCAGACGCAGGTTCAGTTCCCCCACAGGCCTTTGCCCTCCGCCTCACACTCCAGAGGGCAGCTTCGGCGATGCGCTCAAGGGTGCGCACGAATCTCTCCCCATTTAGTTGAAGGAGAACAAGGGCATTGTTGTCACCTCAAGAAATAGATTGCTGGGTGTCCCACCTCCTCGACAGATGATTGTTCCCCAATTTGAGACTGGCCACAAAGAGCGATGCCTTAGGGGCACAAACGGGATGAGAATTGAGAAGTTCTTGCCCCGGGAGAAGTGAGCTCATTTTCATGCATTTACAGGGCTTCCTTTATGCCCTGGCCTTCCACGTCACGCTGATTGCCATGAAAACGGCAAAATAGGAACTCTGACCTCCCTCTCCATGCAGATCTAGTAAAGCAGAAAATGTCCTGATGTATTTACATCCGGGTCAGTATAAAACTGTCCTTTTGATTAAGTGTTTTTTTTATAGTGAGGAGCACCGACCACAAGATTTGGAGATAGAACATCCTCAGTTTTTCCGTAAGAGCACCTGCATTTTGAGCTTTTAGATAAACACACACCGTGAGATTGTGTATGCGCCCAAAGAGAGAGAGCATATGCACCTTGTCTTTCATGCTTTCACTGTTAATACCTGTCACAATTCTACCTAGTTAACTGTGGTTTGAAAACGCACAAACACATACACACCACCCCAAAGCAGAGCGCGAGTGGAGCCAGTCTAATGAGGTTACATTTATTTCTAATCCTCTCCCTCCCTTTCCAATTTCTTTGATGATTTTTCCCACAAATGTATAAGCTGTCGGGAGTTAGTAGAAGCAGGCTGCTCCTCCTAAATGTGATTCGGACCATATGCTTTCTACATTCATTCCTGCTCGGGCTTTTCTTCTCCACACTAACTGCTAACACGTTATAGTCACCTTGAAATTTCCTCTGCTATTTTCCAATTAAAAGCTTAATAGCCCTGGAAACGGAGTTCATGTGGTGAAGTTTACCATAGCCCCTTGTTCTGAAAGGCTTTCTGCTGGGATCCCATTATGTGCTTGAATAAACCCTTTCTGCAAACAGAAATGGGACTCGGGGTTGTCAGGTGTTGGGTTACAATAGACTTTGAGGCAGGGGACATTTTACCAACATAAATACAAACCTGTTCCTATAGGGAGATGTTGTCAAATACTGGGATATGGAAAACATTCCCATCAAATATGAGAAAAGGATTATTGCACTATATCAAATGAGTATTTAGATCTCAACACTCCGTCTGCACTGGAGTGAAACAGAGCCTGACCAAATAATGCCAGACTGTTTGAGGGGCAAAGGGACAGGGTAACTAGGTGACTGAGGGAGGAAAGGGGGTTGCCTTGATAGTGTAAATGCCCTCCCCCACCCAACCTGGTGCAGAGCTATGCTGCTTTCCTTTAAAAACAAATTATTTACTCCCAAGTTCATTAACTTCGAGGTTTCTCTGACCATTTGGAGAAAATCAGAAGAAATTTGGCATTGAAAAAAGTCCATAGTCCCCACATTCCTAAGAGACCTGGAGATTTCTGAGCGAAAGTGTCATTTTAGACCCTCTAGGTCTCTCCTCACGTGAAGCGACTCACTGCCAACTTCCCACCTTCCGGCCTCTGGCCCACCGGGATTCGGGTGCCCTGTGCCTCCCATCCTGGGCGCTTGTGCCGTTTCTTCCTGCTGTACTGTGCTAGGGCTTGTTTTCCCAGTGACGGTTGGGAGGAGAGGAGGTTGAAGTGGGGATAGTGAGAGGGAAAGGGGCAAGATCCAGGGGTCCTTGCCTGGCAGCGGCTTGGGAAAAAAGCCTCTCTGGATATGAGAAATCCTTGGGGAGAAGGTTTCCTGCCCACTCACCCCCAGATCAGCATCTGTCGACCCTCAACTTCCCCATGGGTCTGAAACCGGATGGGGTGGGGTGCGGGTGGGGCAGCTAAGGGCTTCAGGGGAAATGCACACAACTGGGCTCCATTTTCTAACCGTCCTCATCTCCTGGAATTGCCCTTCTAGGAGGAGGGTTGGCTGCTAGAATGCCTGGCAGTGCTTTCGTTGAATATACAGCAGGCAAACAGAGGGACAATTTTGTGTTGCCTGTTTGCTTCTAAGTGCAGAAAAATGTGGCCTCCTCCAGGGGTCAAGGACCACCGGGCAGCTGAAGTGTTGGCCTTTGCAGTGGACTCGTCGTCTATGCTCACCTCTCTCATTCGATTTGCCCAGACAGCCAGGAGAGGAGCTCAGTGTCCACTTCCAGGAGCGAGCAGACCAATGGCTGCGGAACTGACATCATCCCTAATTTGCACAGAACCATTGTGCTACCGTCGCTCCTTGCATTTGTAGGGTACTCTGTGTTAGGTCAAAACGGTATTCATATATTATAAAATGGAAATAACAGTTTAAACAAAGTTGTATGCTGTCAGCTTGTGCAAGGGCCCTCTTCCACTTCCACCTTTATCCAAAGACGCTGGGGGCAGGGAGGGCAGGCATCCCTTATCCATTAATTAAATCACTGATCCGTGGGAATTTCACTTGGGTGACGCTGACACCTCTGTTTCATCGTACAGTGCCTGTTGGGCAGAGGGGTGATCATACCCGGTAACTTTGGAGGCGCTAATGTGGCTCCCTCGTCCACTTCTCTGGAAGTTCAGACCCAGCACTTAACGCAAGTCCTCTACAAGAACACTTCCCAGCCTTTCAGGACAGAGACTTGGGAGGAGGGTAAAGAAATAAACTGAGCACCAGAGTGGAAGGATTGTTTTTCCCTTTGAAAGAGCCTGCAAAATGGGTTGTCATTCTTGGGCTGGCAGGTTTTCAAAGGCATTCCTTTTCTTCTACAGCAGCAAAAGAAAATATGTTGCTGAAGGAAATTAAGAAGCCAAAATTTCCGGAACCAATTCCACTGTCTTCCCCCAACTCCACCCGCCAGTGGCCGCGACGCCCAGCTTGCCCCAGCTTAAATCCCTTTCCACCCAGGCCGTGTCCCTAGTGCATCTGCAGTGCTCCGGTAAGCTCTGGTTCTCGTCCAGCCGAGTTTCTGTGACCAGTGTCGGGATGAAAGAGGCCTCGGACTCTGCGCCGCCAAATCAGGCGTGGGATTGCCTCTGGGCACCTCCACCCTCGCTCCCGCTGGTCCTCCCTTCCCCGCCCCGCCTGCACCGCCTTGTCCCGGAGCGCCGCAGTCCCTCCCGCCGCAGGCAGGGAAGCCAGGAGAGCTTGGAGGAGGGGGCCGTGAGCGCCCCCGCGAGAGTGGCCCAGCTGCAGGTGGCAAGGAAGGTGAAGTGCAGGAACTCGAGGGGCACGAGCAGGAAGGAAGGAGGAAGGCGTGGAGAAGGGTGGGGAGAGCGTGGAGACTGGGCCCCGGGGGTGGGGGTAGTGTTGGAAGGGGGAGGAGTGGAGGAGGGCGGCGGAGGAGGTGCTGGGCCCCGCCAGCGCGCGCGGGAGCTGCAGACGAGCTGGCTCAGACTGTAACCAGAGCTCTTGGCGGCTCCTTGCAGCCGCAGCAGCGCCTCGGCGAGGGAAGACTCGTCCGCCAAAGCTGCTGTTGGCTGAGCCGCGATTCGCGTGGGATTGGCGGACCACCAGCAGGAGGCTGAGGCTGCGAGCGCCCCGGGAGAGTGAAGACGGCTGCTGCATCTCCGGCCCTCCCAGAGCCCACGCGGCCGCCGGCGCCCCGGGACCAACGACCGCGCCGCCCAGAGGCCGCCCGTGAGCGGGCCTCCCAGCCCCGCTGTCCATCGCCCCCTGGCCCGCTGCCGCCGCCAACCAGCCAGCTCTTCCGGGTGTCCAGGACATGAACGGCTACGGCTCCCCGTACTTGTACATGGGCGGCCCAGTATCGCAGCCGCCGCGGGCGCCCCTGCAGCGCACGCCGAAGTGCGCGCGCTGCCGCAACCACGGCGTGCTGTCCTGGCTCAAGGGCCACAAGCGCTACTGCCGCTTCAAGGACTGCACCTGCGAGAAATGCATCCTCATCATCGAGCGGCAGCGGGTCATGGCGGCTCAGGTGGCGCTGCGCCGCCAGCAGGCCAACGAGAGCCTCGAAAGTCTCATCCCGGACTCGCTGCGCGCCCTGCCCGGACCCCCGCCGCCGGGGGACGCGACCGCCGCTCCGCAGCCGTCGCCGACCTCGCAGCCGGTTCAGCTGCCGGCGCCGCCGCCGCCACCGCCGCGCCCGGCCGCGGAGTTGGCTGCTGCCGCCGCACTGCGCTGGGCCGCCGAGCCCCAGTCCGGGGCACTGCAGGCGCAGCTTGCCAAGCCAGGTAAGAGCGTCCGCTGTGCGGAAGCCCGGCTCGGCCACTGAGCGAAAAACCTTATGAGCGGCCGCTTCGGCTTTGCCTGGGGAGGCCCGGAGACATGTTTTGGGAAGTTGGCCTGGCCTCCCAAACTCCTGCCAAGCTGACTCTTCAGCCTGGATCCCGTGCAGGTAGAACTTAGGCGCCCACGGGAAAGGCAAGCCTCGGGTGCGTCAAACTGCGGGACTCTGCGTCGGGCTCGCCCAACGCCCTCCCCAGGTAAAAGGGGAACGTGACCATTTCAGCGGGTAAATAAAAAAGTCGAAAAAAGAGGTCGAGACCGGACCTAATTAAAAGCCACGGCGACACACACCACCTTAACGGCCGGGCTTTTCGGGCTGCGGGCTTTCAGAGGGGCTTGCGATTGGTGGTAGGGACTGGTGTGCACAGGGAAGGAGCCAAGGCCACCGGCTAGGCTGGCTCCAAGCTGCGCGTGCTTCTCCGCCTGCGGGACTTGGAGAGAAACCGAAGCCTTTTTAGTAGCGCCCAGTGGCCCTACGCCTCTTCTGATTTGTTGAAAGAAGCCCTATTTGGAAGCAATAGTAAAAAAGGGCCAGAAATGCCCCTAAACTTAAAGTAGGGACTCAGAATCGGGTGCACCCAGAGTCGACTCCTGTGGCAGAACTGCTCAGGTTCGTTAACACCCGCTCCTCAGGCCTCCCTTCCCGGCTGTCTCTGTGGGTTAAAGAAATTCAAACAAAATTTGACCTAAAGCGCTGAAGGCCCCCTCTGGTGAGCCTTCCCCAAATTTACGGCGGGTCCGGCCCTCAGGCTGCTAAGCCACAGATTTGGAGCAAAGGCTCTCTGATTTCCCTTCCCCTCCTTCTCCCCTCTCCACTTTTGCTGTGCTCCCAAGAGGTTAGGTCTGCCTTGAGCCACAGGTGAGCTGATTGCCCCCACCCCGCTGCTTCCATCCGGTTCCCTTCTCCAGGCCTCGGGAGCCCTCGGGTCCCAGTTGAATCTCTTTCCTCCTGGGGACTCTCTAGCTTGCTGTCCTGCACAGCCCAAATACTCCTTTGACTTTCTTTAGGTTCCTGTATTGGATTGGATGAGCATGTGTTGGTATTTTGCTTTACCTGGGGGAAACGTTCAAAAGAAAAAGCTCATCTCAGCGAGAGGGTTGGGGGACTACTGAAATTGAGAGAGCGAAGGCCCTGGAAGGCCCGTAGCCCAGCTGTAAATGGAACTCGGGCAGAACTTCTGCCTGAATCCCCCTATTAAAGCTCCCGCCCCCAAGACATTACCTCTGGCTCCCGGATCTCTCCAGTAGGCTGGCTCCCAGAGCACAGAACTGCTGTGCAGAACTGGGGACACACAGATTCACTGGTTTAGGGATGAGTTGAAAGTCAGCCTGGCGGCATAGTTCTGCTGTTCTGTTGCTCAGTTATGCTCGCCAGGCCAGAATCTCTGAGAACACCTTACGTAAACAGCAGAACTGGGCGTTTTTGAGGACAGAAGAGAGTTTGCTGGATGGACATGGATTTTGTGGATATTTAATCCAGGGTAGGATACAAGCATTGTCTGTTAGTCTGATCTCTTCATATTTATAGATTTGCCGCTGCGGAATAGGAGGTGGAGAGAAAGAAGATTCTCTTTTTTCTCCTTTAAGTTAGAACAAGTAACTATGAGAGGTTTATCTCAGTTCTACAAGTTGATCTATGCTGATAACTTTGCTTACTTCCCTTTTTCAGCTTCCATGTCTCCATTTCCCCCCCACACCAGAACAGGAATCCGAGTTTATGTCAGTGGTAGCATTATGCAGTGGCTGTCTGCCCAGCAGCACCCCTGTAATACAATACTGAGTTCTGGGGTCCTTGTCCAAGAGGGGATTCTCTCACAGCCTATGTTCTTTAAGCCATTTTTTGGGATGGCCAAAGTTCATGGTTTCTAAGGAGTCACAAAACCAAAAATGACCTCAAGAAGGGTGGGTAATGGAGGGCAGGAAGGAAGGTGGAGTAGTAGCTGCAGCCGTGGGATACATGCTTTGGTGGAAGAAAAAAGGAAGACTGACTTCAACTGGGCAAACCAGACCTGGTGCTCTTGCTTGTACAGGGAACCAAGTATTCAGGGACAGCCTGAGCCTTTCAAATTGAAAGCAAGTAATTGCAAAGGAGAGTAAGATATACCATGAGAAGAGGTTAGAGTGATGGCTTTGGAGACTGAGCCATTGGGGACGAACAGTTCAGGTTCTGGCTGGTCATGCTGCATATCTGGCACATTCATATGTGTAACTTTTGTTTTTATTTCAGTTGGTTGAACCCAATAATTCCATTCTTAAAAAACAAAAAAGCCAATTACCAATCAGATGGTAGGGGGAGACAGGATAAGAACAGATAATTGTTTTCCATTAGGAAAGCAAGTTTATAAGTGGATCCGTTCTGTACAATGTTTTGTATGACTTGTACAGAGAAAGCCTATTTGGGATTTAAATTAGGGAAAACTTGCCTGGATGCGATTACCAGCTGCTAAATGTATTATACCTTTTTTTGCAATGTATTTGTACATAACATACCATCCCTATGTAAGCTAGAAGCAAAGGGATACTCCTTGGTTAAGTAACTCACCACTTGAGAAGTAGAAAAGTAAGTGAAGCTCCATCGCAATGATAGGTACACATGTACAGTAAGTTCACAAACCATTAGTAATCTCTAAGTAGCTGCTGGCAAATTATGGAGATCTGTTTCTATGTGATCTCTGTGTCAAAACCATGGATGATCCTTTTATAAAGGGCATACCTAGCTGTAGAGCTATATGGGTTTTTTTTGTTTGTTACAATGGTGGTCACAAACACACAGAGTCGTTTTCTCCTCTCCATAAATACTCTTGAGAAAAGCACATGCCCTAAAGAAGGGTATGTTTGCTGGGCACCACTGAAGAAAAAACACCCTATTCAGGGAGTGACACATTAACACCAAAACTCAGTTTTGAGCTGAAAGAAATCTCTTTCCCAAATTCTGTTTCAGAGACTTTAAAAGAATGGGGGTTATTGTATCTAATAGTATAGTATGTTGAACATCTCTTTCAGTGTGGCTGTGGCTTTAAGGATAAATTTCATATTTTAATGTTATTACTTGCAACTATGGGGTTGATGTACTCTGTACTCTTGTTTCCTTTGGGTGTAAATTCCCTGGGCTCTTGGTTATCATCTATGACTGGCCAAGAACTATAAGATTTAAGCTTATATATATAATTGACTGACTTCTAAATTCCCTCTTCATCACCCTCACACACCTTTCCCTCCCCCATGAAGATATCATGGCAAGTGTGAACATCTTTCAGCTCCTAGTGTTATCTGAGTCAGCAGCCTCAACCAGCCAAGCCAGCCTTTCAGGACTGGGCTCCAGAGCCGACAAAAGTTAGGGGTCAGGACCAAGGTGAGAAGCTAAAGTTACAATCCTGTGCTCTGTCTCCCTTCCCCAACCCCCAGCTTTCTGGCCAGGGGAGTGTCTTGGTCTCCTCAGGCTATGAGAGGAAAGCTCTGTGGCTATAGATTCTTACTAGATCTACATCTGCCATTAAAATAAATATGTACACAGTTCTTTAAAATGTTCTTAAAGAAAAAAGAATTTGTAAACATCATATTGTTGCAGAAATAGGAGCTCAAGATCAAACAGGAAAGGAGGAACTCCTTTCCTGTTTATTTCTCCTGAAATGGTACACACAAGAGACCTATAGGGACAGAAGTTAGGAGATTTTGAAAAACTGCCTTTCTTTAATTTTCCCTCCTGGCCCACACCTCCTAGCATCTTTATGCTTGCTGTGGGCTTTTCAGCTCCAGCTTGATTGGGTCCTATCCCATCTGCTTCCTAATTTTTTGTTTTACTTTAATTAAAAAAAATAGATGAACCTGCAAGTATGATTTTTGTTACGGGATCACAGGTCCAAGCCAGAATGGGAAGCCCTCTGTGATTATAGGCTAGAAACAAACGAAAGAGTGGGAAAGATTTCACAGTCTTTCATGAAGTGTAGCTATGAATTTAAAAACGGGGTCTGGTTATTTAAGATGGCTTAATATGGGGCGAGGGGCCTGACTCAGAGTATTTGCACTTTAAAACAAAAAAACCAGTCAAATGAAAAGGAATAAGCGGTTCTGTACTACTTACTGGTCCCTAGGGGATGGGACGCGGGGCACATTCACAGGTCCTGGTCTTTCCCCCGACGCCGGGCGATTCGCGCGCCGGGCTCCTGGTCCCCGCGCGCCGCCGAGCTCTGCAAGTGCAGGGCGGTGCGCGAGGACACTGGGTCCGGGACGAGGATCGAGGGCCCCGGCGACGCCCGGCCGGGAGCTTTTCAATGCCAGGCCAAGGTGCGGGAACCCCACGAAAGGCGCGGGCAGCGGCGGCTCCCTACTGCGGCCCTGGGCCTCTGTCCCCTGCACCCAGGCCCGGGCAGGCTGCGGTTGGGCGGCTGGGCGCCGGCTCTGGGGCCCGGCGCTGCCACCCTCCGCTTGCGGGCAGCTCCTTCATCGCCCACTCTGGGCACCCTGGGAGGGCCCAGTGTCGGGGAGCCAGACGGAGCTGCGCGCGCTACACCGGCCGCCTTCCTGGCTTTTCCCACTCACGCCTGGGTGGCCGCCCGCTCCCTCCTTGCTGCCTCCCAAGCCTCCGTGGGTTGCCAGATTTAGAGGGGGAAAAAAGGGTGCAAATAAGCAAGAACTTGTAAGCCCGACATTGCTTACTGTAAACAATTCGTTATTATCTGAAATTCAAATTTAACTGGGCATCCTGCGATTATACCCAGCAACGCTAGGCCACGTCCTCCCCACCCAGCCCCCATTCCTCTGCAGGGTGCCCATTGGGGTGGGGGTCGCTCCTCTGCATCTCCCTGCTTCTTTCTGTGTGTGGAGCCTCAGCTGCCCTGGGCAGGCGTCGGAGAGGCACGGGTGTCCATCTTATGGATCTGAGGACAGGCTCAGAAGGAACGGGACCGTTTTCCCGGTCTAGGAACCAGAGTTCCACGGCCATCGG